TTACACAGAAGTCTATTAAATATTGTTTGTTTTTGAAAAAAAAAATCACACACACTCTTACACTTTGAATCACTAAAAATTACGCATACGCCTGGTGTTCTTCGGTATATATTAATCGCTAATTGCGTTGTGTCTTTTGGCCATACAACTATGTGTATATGTAGCTATATCAGCTGTATATATTTTTTGGTGGATAGTTTTGCAAAGTAGAATTTCTCGGAGATTGCACGTTGAATGCAGCCTGACTCTCGTCCAGTGACTGAGCCCATGTTGCACGACTTTTGCATCGGAGCTGCAGCCTCAGCCGAAGATGGCCGATAGGATCGTCGTCCTGGAGGGGAATCCCCATTCGTTCGATGTGGAAATACGAATGCGAGCCGAAAGTGCGTGGGTGCTTCGTGTGTCGCCGTTCGTTTGTCGTCGGCTTCCTTCTGCTGCTGCAGGACTAATCCTGGCTCCTGGCTGCTGGCTGCTCCTGTTCCCAGCGCCTGGCTCCCAGCTCCCATCCACATACATCCCCCCTTCGGTTCGAGAGCACCCCGGCCAATGGGCGCTCGGCTTTCAAGGTCATACGTTTGACGGCCATTTTGGAATGCACACAGCCGCCCCTTTCAATGGCCGCCCACTGCATTTCCCGGGGCCCAATGAGCTGGGCTCTGGCCCACTCAGTCGCCTTGGCAACGACCTTCGGAGGCGTCGCCTCGACATTGGCCATGGCAGTGAATCCGCCACTTGGGGGTTGTTGCAATTTTGCAATTATCCCCCCCAAGGTCACCCCGGGTCCAACTTCAGTCAGCTGTTGGCCAGGGTTGCCCTGCCTCCTGAAGGCGGGCGAAATTTGAAATTATCAAGAGAACGCTTTAAAATCGAACAGCACACTCAGCACACTCGGCACAGCAAAACTCATTTCGTTTACTGCCCCATAAATTAATCAGTGAAAACAATAAAGATTTCAATATAATTTCCAACGACATCCGGTCGAATGCGGCACCAAATTTGGCGGAGAGCAGCCACTTCGACAAAGCTCCACATATGGGCGGTAAGCATCCAAATATCTATATACCTACATATAAGAAGAGGACTCAGAATGAAGACCCAAAAAAAAATAAGTGATGTCTAACAGGCAAGCTGAGTAGGCTTTAATTATTTTTAAAGAAGTCGAGAGTTTAGTAGGTTAACGAAGAAAAACCATTTACAGATTTTTGATCAAATTAACCGAATATTTTAATATAATATAATAAATGTAAAATATATTTTTTTGGTATACCAATATATGTTAAAGGTAAAATATTAAAAATTTTTATAACAAATGACATAAGTTAATTATTGTGTTTGAAATATTTTATTCTCTTTTCATAATAAATACCAATATATTTTAAAAATATGTAGCCTTTGAATAAAATTTAAAAACTATTATAAAAAATGTTCAAAAGTTTATGATTGAATTCGAAAGATTTTGTTCATTGTTCAATAAACTTTAATACATTTATTTTATTTATTTATCGACAAAATGACAACATTTCTAATAAAGCTTATTCCCAAAAAGAATTCATTCAATTTGCTTGGGAGTTTGGCGACTGGACATCGCCCATTCTTTGGCCAGCAAATTGAAATGCCAACAAAATGTGAATCATCTGATCAGCAGATAAAACTTGCCAATAACAAAAAAATGGTCTGCCATTCAATAAAGACACACACAAAATCAGACATACATATATTGGCCGAAACATTTTGGGCAAACATATAGGTACAAATAAATACGAACGGACAGAAGAATATAAATAAATGAAATTTCATTGTGGGATTTCATTGAACGAAAATGCTCAATGAAAAAGTTGGCCAAGCTGCGATGTCTGCCGTTGTTGGTTGTTGGCTTTGATGGGCATTTCATTTCGTGCATTCAATCCGAATCCGCAATAAATATTCTGCTTGGCCAACAGTCCATCAGTTTTCCCGCCTGACGTCACAAGTGTCCTAGATTATCGCCGCAGTGGCCGGGAGGTAACACATCGGCCTCGAGGTGAATGTATAAACATGAACTCGGGGGCAATTTTCAGCCAGCCAGGCCAAAAAAAAGAGAATAAAAAAAAATACAAAAAAAATCTGTACAAGTGGCAGCGAGACGCACGTGCAAAATATTTATTTGGAATCCGTCTGCAATTGACGTCGCTTCTATTTTCGCCTAAGCAGATCCGTTCCCAATCCCACTTCCGTCCGACGATTGATGGGTTTTGCCAATTATTCGGAGTTTTAATTTCGAATTTCCGCAAAAAATATGTTTTTTTCTTAGAACCGAGGCATAGCGGTCAAGCCATTTAGACGTTTCCGATTATTTTTAAAAGTTTCAAGAGATAATGAGGGGGACAGCGAATAAATTCATTCTCGTTTGTGCTGATAAATAAGCTGACTAACTAAAAAAATTGTTTTTGCATTACTCAAACATTTTTTGGGAATTTCAAGTTTACTTTGAATTAAATAAGAGATTGTAAAATATTGTTTAAATGAAGGTTTTTGATAAAGATAATATGAATGAATTTCCTGCCTTACTCAAATAATTTCTTGGGAATTTTATTTTTATTTCGAAATAAATTAGATGTTGTCAGACTTGAATGAAATAATAATATTTCTATCATTACTCATCATCAGTTTCAAGTTACTTTTAAATTAAGTTAAAGTACTACAAACTTAAGCAACAAATTGAATTTAATATCTAGACAGCTATTACAATTTATCTCAAAGAAAGTTAATTTTTTTATGCTCAGTATTTGTGAAAAACAAATTTTAAATAGCATATATTTGTTAATATGTTTTACATTTTTTTTTTTAAAGAAATCCCATATTCTAAAGATTTTGTATGCTTTTGGATATAATTTGTAAAATGTTTGGATGTTCGAAATGCTTTTTAATATTAAATTTCAAATTTTTGTTGTAATGTTTGAGAAAATTGAACATATTTTGAAAATCCATTTCCATTTGACTTTTATTTCACCTCTTCATTCAGTTCGCCAACATGCCAAACAAGGCCACTCAAGTATCTATATAGAGTCCTTCGCCATGCGGTTCGTTTTTCTCAATGGGCCAAATGCCGCCCACAAAACACACAGAGGCAGCAGCAACATCGGCATCCCCGCAACGACATCAGCATGGCCAGCAGCAACACCAAAGGATGAAGGATGCGGGGTTGAAGGATGGGGAGTGGGAAATTGGAGGCGACACTTACCTACCACAGCCGCAGAGAATGTTGCCCTAGTTCCACAGCCCTTTTGTGGATGCCATTTCCTCGCTGGCTTTTCGCCTTGTGAATGAAAATCCTTGCTCTCGCTCTCGCTATCGCATTTTCCTCTCCGCGGGTTTTTGTGACGGCATTTTCGTTACGTTACGTTGCGAACCACTTATTTTCGTTTTTTTCCCACCCACTAAGCCACGATGGTCGGGGAATGTCATTCTTGGATTTTCCCCATTGGCATCTTGTGTGTGCGCATGTGTGTGTGTACGGGTTTTTGGCCAAGGCAAAAGTTGGCCAAGAAAATCAATGAATGAACCGAGGAGACACGTAGCCAGCCAAGGATGTTTATATATACATATATGTTTTTCTATATATACAGCTTGCAATCTTTATTTTTTCCTCAATGAACGTTGAATGGGCATTAAGATTTTAGCAAAAAGAAAATATATATTATTTCCTTTGCAATTTTTACTGCACCTCTCGCCATTTAAGACGGAATTACGTGCCAGAAATAACGTAATGCGATACTAAAGCACTTGCAAATGGAACTTTTGCGAACCACTTATTGCCGCTGCACTTCTACCTCTACGCACATAAAGGTGCTTTAAACTTTATTGCACTTTTTACGAGCCAGTTTTTTTTCTTTCATTTTTTATTTGGGCAACGCGTCCGGTCGTTGTGACATTTTCTAGGAAACTGTTTTTGACAGCCGTTTGGGTGCATAAATATTGGACATAAAATATTATCAAAAGCAATCAATATTTGATGGTGCAGGATTTTAATTAAAATGGTAATCGATGTTGATTTGGCAAATGTTTAAATAAGTAATTAATAGCTTTATTTTATAGAGAACAATAAATATAGTTACCATTAATGTTTAATTTTCTAAATATTTATTTGAAATATTTAAATAGTACTCCTTACATCAACAAGATAGAAAGGAAAATACATATACTTTTACCGAAAAACCATTTCTTTATTTTCCACCTAAAACAGTATATTAATCCAAATATTAAAATATTTAATAAGCTCGTGTTTAAAGTCCCAATTGGCATTCAAACCGAACATTTTTGAATTAGTACATTTTTTCAAAAAATCATGAACGGAACTGTTTGAATTGCAAATGAGTTTAAAAATTCCCTAGCTAAATATATCAGTCCTTTATTTTACCTTGGTCCTTAATTGACCTGCTTATGTCGCTTATCCAATTGTCATCGACATTTTCTCCTTGACAAATCCCCCCGCCAGCGATATCTGGCTCAAGCACCTCGCTATAATGGCTGGCACTTGAGAGAACATTACCTCGAGGACAAATGGCGATGGTATGGGTATCCTGCCACACACTTGGAACTTGGAACTCGGAGCACTTGAGCCCATTCAGCACAGAACAGCCCAGCAAAAGCAGCCACAGCCCGTTTGAAGGATACTTTTCGCACAGGCGAGCATTTGCGTCATTCACAAAACTGCGGCTCGTAACTTTGCCACATACTTTGGTGCAGCGGCAGCAACTGCGACACAATTGTCCTTCCAGCAGAGGCTCCTAGGTGAATGAACCGGCTGGGCGGATGACCCAGTTTTTTGGGCTGCAGCAGAGCCACATCCATTCATCGGCATCCTTGTCGCGTTCAATGACACAACAGCAGCAGCAGCAGTGGCGGCGGGCTATGAATGAAAAAAGGACCTGTGCGCATGCCAAGTGGGTCAATATCCTTTGCCGTGACGTCACCAGTGACACAGTTAACCCAGAGTCTGCATAGTTTCAACTCTTCTTTCGGTTGTACAACATTATTTTCTTTGCATTTTATTCTAAGTTTGGCTCTAACAAAAATCGCAGGCAATAAATGGATACTCGCAATAAGCGTTTTACAAAAATTTGATTTAAAACCATTATAACAGAGTTTCAGAGTTTGTTTCTTCAAGCGACTGTAAAACCATAAAAATGAAACTAAGCTTAAGGAGAAGAAGGATCCTCTGTTTCTATCGGGGATTAGAGAGGATACACCACAAGCGCACAGTCTGTAGTTTGATTAGTTTTCTTTTCTTTTCTTTCTTCAGCGAAATTCTCTCGTCTGTTGTACGTTTGAAATTTTGGCTAGCGAATTCGCTTATAAGATCTCGAAGAGCTTCTTCAGTTCCACCATCAGCGACCAGTCCGCCTTGATTAGGTCGTCGCGGAAGTAATCCTTGCAGGCATCGATGCTCTGGCGAGAGATCTGTAAGAAAAAGAGTTTAAAAACCATTTTAGAAAATCTTAAAAAAAGAAAATAACTATAAATAAATATTGAGATACTTTAAATTCGGCTAATATTACTAATATATACTAGAAATCTAGTATATTTTTATGAAAATTCCATTAAATCAAAGGGAAACCATTAATAACATTTACTTTATAATTGGGTAATAGTTTAAAAATAGTTTATGATTAAAATAAATATTGCAACTTATTAAATTCAGATAATATCACTATTAAATACTAGAAATCTAGTATTTTTTTTTGTTTTTCCCTGGCGATCGATCAATTACAGTTACTTTATAATTCGCTAACCAATAAGAAAACATAATTTTCTCAAAAAACCCCTCGACGAATAGACTTTCAATAAAAACCAAAAATAATTAAAAGTCCATTAAAATACTAGAAATCAACCGCAGGGTGAAATTGTAGTAATATTTTCAACCCGTGCGCCTATAAATGCATATTAATAACACACTGCGCTACACATAAATCATTTGCATTATCAATTCAGCAACAAAAAAAGTATAATTGGAACGTGCCAATTGTCATAACTCCAAAAGGGAGATTCGAAATGCAGAGGACGGGGTGGGTGCTCCATCAATCAAATGACGGAACGGCACGTGTCTCCAGTTCGGGGTCTCCAGTTCTCTACTACAAACCCCTCCACCAGACATATGGCGCATAACAATTAAAATCATTTTCAATACAATACTCTTTTATTTTTCCCCATCTTTTTCGTATCCGATTCAGCTTGACTTTATGCCCCGGCGAACGCTTTATCGAAGCTATTTTAGTGTCGCCATTTTTTATGGCGCCTTTTTAATGCGTTTTTTAATGCCTCGCATTTATGGCGAGAGCAGTCAGTCGGTCCGCCCGAAGACCTTATGAATAGTTCCACTTTCAGGCCCCCCAAAAGTCTGATTACAGCACAGGCCCTTGATAAAGACAGGCACTCTGTCCTTTGTCTGTCTGATATTCCCCGTTCCCTCTTAATTATTATTTTTATTCTCATTTTTTATTTTGTTTTTGGCGCATCGCATATTAATTAGGCTCGATCAATGGTTTTGATTATTGGAGCCGTATTTATATTTATGTACAAAAGATTTCTCTAAACGATAAGAGGTCTCTCAAGGAGTCCCCATTTATGGCCATGCATATTAAATGGACTTTTGTTCGCTTTTTCAAGAGTTGAAGGATATTAAAGACAGAGCCTGAATTTAAGTAGCTATTGATTGGTTATCTAGCCAAAATTAACGTTTATTTGCCTTGCTGATTTCGCTTTATAAACGCCATTGTTCGGTTAATCAGTAAATCCTATTATCTGCTTGCTGCGAATTTTCCGCATAAAGGATGCGATGCTGCATTCTCTTTGTTCCATTGAAATTGACCCCCCCTTTAACTGCAAAATCTCGACTAATTGCTGCTATTTTTAGCTTCGCTAAAGCCAAAGGCCTTGTCCAATTTTGCAAGTGAACCCGCAAGGCCGAAACCCAAACCAAAACCAAAGTCATTTATGGTTGACCTCAGCTCCAATTTTCAAAGGGGAGTTTCGAGGTTCTGGGGTTGGGTTCTATGCTCCATGCTCTCTGCTCCATTTTGGGTCGCCGAATGCGTCATAGCTGATAAAAGGCGAGTGCACAAATTAAAGCCAAAATAAAAAAAAAAAAAAAAAAAAACACCGCAGAAACGGCGAAAACCGAACCCGCTGCACAAAAACACACTCATACAGCCAAAAACTGGGTCGACATCCGAGAAAACTGGGTTAGCTCGATGATGACGATGCTCTCGGGGGTCAATGAACTATATATCTATATATAGATGCAAGTGCACTACCGTGGAAGGTAAAACGTGACGTCAGCCGGCGGCGACTCGGGTCAAATACTCTTCATATATATATATATTTTTCTAGGGGTGATGGAGGCCCTCTGCATGCATAAGTACGTATCATCAGGTCAGCCATGACATAATACCCTTTCATGGCTCCCAGGTTCTTGGTTCTTAGTTCTTGGCTCTTCGTTCGTCCCTGCAAAGCCAATAGCAATAGCATTGAGGGCTATAAATAGTCAGTCAGTTGGGCGGAGTGGAGTGGGGAGTGGGGTGTGTCAATTGGGGTGGTGGCATCCAGCTTAATAGCTTTTGATGGAGGCTGCTCTGCTGCACTGGGAAAACCCCACAAGGTATAGGGCTAACGATAAAATAATAATGTGACAACCTAATTAGAGTTAATTGGAAAATTGTGCACGAAAGAAGGTTGGCGGATTTTGGATTGAGTTTCTGGTAATTTAAATGCTAGATTTAGCTCGTGAAATAAATACTTTTACTAATCCAAACGATTTAAAATAATATTTCATATGTGTTTTCGAAATCGATATTATCGAATCGATATTGTAAAAATAACGAAAATTCAAGCTCTTTTTAAAAAAGATTGAACGGGAATTTAAATCTTAATAAACAAATTAGGTAAATTAGGTAAATTAAACTAAAGAATATAATAAATTGATAAAGTTAATAGACATTATGTATTTATTTAAAAAATCTATTAAACTAAATTAAATTTAATATATGGATTTAATCAGCAAATACATAAATGAAATAAAAGAAAACATTTCCGCATATTAGATCTTACTTCAAATTCTTTGCTTATTTCTTTAATAATAAACATTATTTTTTGGCAGTGCCAAATTTATCATTCAATTTGTAGGCCTAAAAATACATCTATTCATCTTTATTTTTACGCAGCATTAATTGAATAAAGCGCGCTGCCAACTCAATGGGCAATTAGCGCCGCCTGGCGTTTTGACGTCACCGATGTCACCCGCTGATAAGGGCGAAAAATGAATCGAAAATTAAGTTAGCTATCGATTTTGGTTTTCAGCCTTCAACAATATTCACCCTCCCTATGGAACCACCCACTCTTGAAGGGCGCTTGACGTCAGAGCTCGGTAAGTAATTGTTAATCAAATGATTGAACGAAAGGAAGTTGCAAAGACCTTTCAACGCCACTTAAGCCAGTTAAGTCATCGATCCGAGGCGATTGTTGTTGCTTTTGGTGTTGTAGCCACTTAACACTTAACACACAACTTGGCCATGTAATTTGATAAGCCAGCTGGGCCCAAAGTGGAAGTGACCAAGGTGAGGAGGTCTCTGGAGGTGGAGTGGGCTTGCACCTGGCCATCTAAAATCTAAAGCATGTAAACACCATACCCATTCCCGCCTTCATTTCCAGGTGCAATTGACAACTTTGGCACTGGCACTTGGGCACTTCCCCCGCTTTACGATTGTCGTTGAACTTAAGTGATTTGCACTCGAATTCGTACCCAATAATGGCCTATCATTCGCTCAATTAAAGCAAATTGATAGTAGAAATGTTCGAAATGCCCACTAAATTAATTGACCGAAATTCAATATTATTCTAACAATCTATTTGCTTTGAAATAGGCAGCTTAATTAATTTTCACTGTGTACTTCTGTGGTTTAAGTAATAGAAGTGGATTGCTTATGTGTACTTGATTTTAGACCTTTCTACTATAATTATAATAAGGAAAATGAATTGGCTTTAAGAAAAAAAGAGTTTTTTTTATATTTATAATGGAATACATTTTAGAAGAGTTAATAAATTTGTATTAAAAATATTTAAAGTACCAATGAAGTTATTTAAAATATTTTTAATAAAAAATATTTAAAGTACCAATGAAATTATTTAAAATATTTTAAATAAAAAACATTAAGTTATCCAATTTTAAAAAGTTAAATCTTCATCCTTTTTCTTTGCAAAATTCTTAAAAAATTAAAAGAATTGTTTTTTTATCTTGCTAATTTTACTAAATTTTAAGAAGGCATTTAAAAACCCATTACTTATTTTTAGAAAGACACCAAAAGCCATTAAGAACAAGTAAGGCTACAATTGCAGCACTTCAGATATCTAATCCAGCCATAAACATCTACCACATGCCCGCCTAAGCGATGATATTGCGGTTCCCAACTTCCCCGACAATAATGCACTCGACTATATCTCGAGTTCCAAGTTGACTCTTCCGCTCCCGAATACTAATGAATTTATGGTACCTCAAGTGGTTAGGGTTCTTGAGAATAGGGTTCGATCGACTTACCTTGCTGATCAGCATGTCCTCGGCCTCAAAGTGGCGACCAAACATTTTCGGCGATTCACCGGGAATCGGATCGATCTTGACGCAAATCTCTTGACCCTTGCGCGCCGATTCGATTTGCTTGTGATTCGATTCGATGGAAGTCACGATTCCAATGTCCACAAACTGCAATCACAGAAAAAGAAGAAATGATCAGTGAAATTGTGAAAGTGTTTCTTTTTTGTTTTTTTTTTTTTTGCATACGTGGCCCATGGGGCGTATGTGTAATATTGCGGCAAATTAGAAATAATCAGATGGCCAAAGGGAAATTTTATGGGCCGGGGACTTCCGCATGTCGTCGCCTGAATCGCTGATAAGTTTCGCCAACTCATTTAATATGCCAAAGCCGTAAAATAACTCCACGTTAAGCGCTAAATAAAAGGTTTGCCAAAAAAAACAGAAAAAAGGCAAAAAGTAGAATAGGCCGTGTGGGTGGGGAAATAATTGGGTGGTGGATGGGTGGGTCTTATCAGCGCATCTGGCGCGAGTTTCATATGCGGTGACCACTTCCTCAATTCCACTGATAAACTTGTGGGTGGTTAGTTGTCTGTACACTGCTCTGCTTATTTATGCTTTTTTGTATTTTGTGGAGTGCCGAGGGGCTTATTTGATAACATTTCAGACCAAACTCTGCCGGGCCACTGGTAAAAAATTTCATTAAATTAAATATTATCTAATATTAAGATTTAACATTTTCCTTAAATTATATTTACATTTTTTTTTAAATATTTAAAATGATTAAAATTGCGACCTTGTATGCTTCTTCTGATTTAACCTCACATTTACAGCATTTTAAATAAATACCAACTTTTAAATTTAAAAAAATACCAGCTTAAATGTTTATAAATTTCTTAAATTGAATAAACACATTTTTTAGGAAGCTGAGAAACAATTATGAACAATTTATGTATGGAGAAACCCTTTTAAAAATATTTTCTAAAATATTTTGACATTTTCTGAAATTAAATCTTGAAATTAAATCCCACATAAATCCGTTCTAGGCCCCAAGTTTTCTCGCTGTGCACTGGGCTCCTATCTCGATGGCCTAACAAAGTCATTGAACCAAATTGTAACATGTTTGTTGTCGTAACCCGTTTGCACTCGACAAAAACAAAACAGGAAACTGTTGCCAACGTCGCGTTTCCTGTGGGCGCCCCAATGGCGGTCGACGTCGCTGTCGCTGCCCTCGTTCGTATTTCATTCAAACCAAATAAATTATTGAAATTTTCTTCTTTTTTTTGGTTTTGTTGTGTTGGCCTGTTGCTATCGGTGCAAATAGCTACATAGCACATTTACACACCCTCTAGAAGGCAAAATGGTGGCGGAAAAGGGGGTGGGTAGTGCGGGGGGTAGCAGCATTTGTCACCATTTCCTGTCGTTGATTACTCATACGCCCCGTTCCACACACGTCTTCCGCTGCGGCGGCGTCTTCGCCTTTTCGCGCTCTCTTCGAAAAATTTTCATTAAATGTGTTAATTTATTTCCATTTCCACACAATTTTTTCTTTCAACATTGCGCTTCTGCGGTGCGAGCCGGCAATTTTCGTCTTTTATGAGAGCAACGAAATCATCCCAGTGGGGGGATATTTATGATAGATATGCTATACATATAGGGCGCACAGGGAATAGGGGGCAAAAAAAATACAACCCAGCCCATACCAAATTCGTACCAAATGATGAGACGAGAAATTGATGGGCCTGTTGATGCAAGTGGCAAAAAAGAAAACCGACTTGAAAGGAGATAAATCGGCACAGAAATAAAGATTCTTATGGGAGAATTTTATTAGCAAAAAAAAAACAAAATAATGTTTGAATAAAAAAAGGAGATGGGATTCCCATTTAATAATACTTTAAAAAAATACTTATCAATGAAAAAAACACAGAAGTACTTTTTTTTTTTTTTTAATAATTTATAAAGCTATGAATTTTCACAAAAATAGTTATTTTCAAAAATTATTTTTTAAGATTTAAGATCGAATTAATATTTTAGGATTACAGAACTTTTCCTATGAACGATTTTTATAAAAAGCACAGTTTAGATCGACCTAAAAATAACTCAACAAAATCGGGATATTTTTTCACTTTTCGATGCCAAAGAAAACAGATTCTTTATTGGGCATCGAGAAAAAATTCGATGACGACGCGGCCGTCTCGTGTCGCCGAAAAACCGAAAAACCCAAACAAGTTGACTACGAAAACAACATTTTACATTCCACCTTTTTTTTTCTGTTCGATTTTGTGTATATTTTTTACAACTTTTTTTCTGGCTGGCAGATCATTTGAATGAGTGTGTGTGTATCGGCGTTTATCTAAAAATATGATTTATATATTTCGTGCAGACCGGATGTCGTCTATTTTCGAAAAAAGAGAAAAAAAGCGCTCGCTGCTCGTATGAATGAACAAAAACAACAAATCGAAAGCGAACAAAACGAGATTCAAAAACAATTTGGCTTTTTGTGAAATGTTTGATAGAGAGCGACACAACAAGAAGAGAGACAAACAAATAGATTGTGTGATATCTTTTTTTTTATTTCATTTTCGGGCTGCGCAAACATTTTAGTGACACAATTCTCTGATTTCTTTGCAGCTTGTTTATGCTGTTGTCAGCAGGAAACACTAAATTAGTTGACCGTAGAGAGAATTACCCCATATATATAAAAATATATATATGTCAAAGACGAAAATTCGCAACATCCGTCGAGCGGGGGACTCCAAAAAAATAAATATATATATTTCAGGGCCTTTGAGTCTGCGCAGCTGCAACTTCGAGTGGCCTCGAAAGAAAAAAAACAGTAGCCGCATCAATTTTTCCAATCTCGGCTGCCGGTCTTGGATTTGGATTCTCCTCAACCAAATCTTCAGCCCCTCGGGGCTGCTGATCTACGCTTTTCAAATGGGTTGCTGGGACCCACAACAACAAGAAACTTGCCTACGTCATGCTTTTCGAGGGAGAAAGAAGAACTTGTCGCTGAGACTCGCTGAGTTTAGCCCGCAAGCCCCCACATTTGAGGAAGCATTTATATATAGTCATCATCACCGTGATCGCTATGAACATGATCACGATCCATCCGTCCACGGACCACCAGATAACCAGATAACCCCACTCAGCTAGCTGCCCACAACTTTTCGGGAGGAGGAGGAGGAGGAGTAGTAGTGGATGGCAGATGGAAGACAACCTGAGGAGATCTTGGTAGCTGAATAACTGGAGAGGGGGTAAATGGCAGAGTAGGTGTACAGCAGGGCTGGAGTACTATTTAAATATTTACAAGTCTAATTATTTATAATATAAAAATAAAATCATTAAAAGTGCTTAATAAGTTTAAAACATTGAAGAAAATTTGCAAATAATATTAATTCATATTCCAGTGTTTAACAAACATTATTGAAGGGGAGAAATAAATGTAGTGTTGGTAAAAACTATTGGTAAAATGTTACAAATTTTCTTTAAATATTTTTAAAATATGAATAAATCATAAAAAAGGACTAATATAGAAAGTTAAAAAAAAGTTTTTATTAAAAAGATAACTGGAGTAAAAATATAAAATTTTTGTTTGTAGAATACAGTGTTGGTAAACTGATTCTGAAGCAAATAGTAAAACTAGAGCCAGTAAAATGATAATGCTATGATTTATTCTAGATTTTTTTTAGATTTTTCAGCTATTATCCAACCCTAAAGTACCTCCACCTCACTGCCCAAAAACGGTCGATCTCGACCCCCGGCTCATCTCGAGCCATGCAACGCCCAGCGACATGGCTTTCAACGGCAATAACAATGCCAACAACACCTACCAAATGAGCCAAGACAGCCACGACTCCTCCTCTCTAAGCCATCTATTCATCGTCATCGTCAGCAGAAGTCTAGTCATGCTCATTAGCATCTCGAGTCTGAATCTCCATCTCCATTTCCACTTCCACTAGCATTTCCATCTGCAGTGCAGCAGCAACGCCCACAATCAACACTCGCCACTCGTAGGAGGCCAAAAAGAAAATCTTTCACTCACAGGAAGTTGGTGGGCAACCTCATCATCAGGCCATCAGACCATCAGCCATCAAAATTCAAGTAAATCCCAGGTGGGTGTTGTGTTTTGTATGCTGTGTGTGTGTGTGTGTGTTGCCAAGGTGTTAAGGAGCGGCAGCAACCTCCGCTGATTAGAAATGATTAGCGGACTGCTTGAATATCTATATCTCGCTTGTTATTAGTATTCGTAGTTTGCGCCACTCGAAAAGCGAAAATTAAAGCCCATTGATTATTGTTTAATTTGTTTGGGTTAACGCCGTGCTATCGGACATCGGAAATACTTGATAGATAGCCGCCCAGCTGTTCGGCATATGGCATATATTAATCAGTAGTGTCAATAAAGTTTGGGGCCACCAGTATCCATCCATATGTGTATTCTAATCCGAGTGCAAAACAATCAATTATGCCGCCGAGGTGATTGAATTTGAAGCGCTAGCGAAATGATGAAACCATTTGATGAACCATTTCGATAAGAATCGAACAAAGAATATATAAAAATACACACAAAAACGGTGATAAGAAAACCGAAAAATGCAAGCTAAATTGGACTCTGGTCGGGAGGAAGTGAATGCGAGTAGTTGGGTTGAGTAGGTGAGTCGAGTTATCAGTTATCACCAAAATCGTATCAAGTTCAATGCCTGACTTAATAGCTATTATTAATTTTTTTTCGCTTGGCCTCTGGGAGTCTCGTCTCCAAGGTTCTGGCGTCTCACTTGGCGACCATAAAATATTATTTCATTGTCGGGGAAAACCGCAGCCATATAAAAAATATACTTCAAGTAGATTCTGCCCTGTTTCTTTAACAAAAGTTGAGTTTGCGGAAGTTGTTATTTCACCATCTACTTGAAGTGGTGTAAACAAATAGTAAATTTCCTCGGGGATCAATGGAAATTTTTAATAGAATTTAAATCGAAAAATATTATATCAATGATTAAGAAAAATAGAAATTATTAAAATAAATATATAAAAGTAGTTAGGGGCTGTCCATATATTACGTAATCACCTAGGGGGGAGGGGGTCATTGAAATGATTATGTTTGATTACATGGGGAGGGGGGTCTTGCACAATGATTACGTAATCATTTTATATGTATTTTTTATTTAAAGAAT